GGGAAAGAGAATTGATGTTGTTCATACTAGAGTTAGATCAGAATTCCCCATACATCTGTCTCTTACTGTATTTAAGTGTTTCCTTTTGACACTGAGGAAATTTTTACAAAAGCAGAAAAAAAAATGTTTTAAAAATATCACACCTCTCCCATCATAGCAAAAACCACATTTTCAAATGCGTTATTGTTGGCTGAGGGTTCAATTCAAGAATGTCTTTATGATGACAATAGAAAGTATAAGCACATGAATTTCCTCTGAGGACACTGGGTCTTCATTTAGACAAGGGTATGTGTGTCTGGCATGATGTGCCTGTGAAAAAGAGAATGAGGCAAACTAACTCAAATCAGACATGTTGATCTGAAAGATTATTTCCACCTCCCTTTCAACACCCTTAAAGTTTAGAAGAGCTTTTCACAGAAATCTAAGACTGACACATCTAGAATGTGTAAGTCCCAGCCATGTTTTCTCCTTACCATAGCCCTTGGCTGGAGCACTGTGCTATAGTGAGCATGCCTCACCATGATGAGAAGGAACCTGAATTAATTCATTTGGTTTTAGGTGGAAGGATGAGTTGTTCCCTAGGAAATCATTGTCTATGGTTTATTACAGAATACTGGGAAACAAAACAACAGGAACCAACTAAAACATATCAGTTCTGGTAATTGAACCCCAAATGTGTGGCACAGAATAGCAGAGGGAAGATGGAACCCACCTTGGTGCTTTCTCAGGCAATAGAATAGGCAGAAACAGGTGATGAGTAAGGGTAATCCTCCCAAAGGAAGCAAACTATAAAGGATCCATCGCCTGTCCTCCATCTGTTCCTTGGAGGGTGGTTCTAGGGCACTGGTTGTATCTGAAATGTTAATCGATGCTAAAAACAGTTAGGAAATCTGAGATATATTAGGATCAGCAATACCTTCTGCAAGTTAGAACGAAATTCCAGCTGATGCCTTCATTTCTCTTTCAGCAGACGTTAGGAATCCCAGGCCTCAGGACTCTCATCCACCTCTTACTTTATTGCTGAGTGTATGTGGGTGGCTCTGGGTTATAGTTTATCTTTTGAAATTCTTATTCTGCTATGGTTAATCCCCCGTAAAACAATATTCATAAAGCTCTCAGAAAGCCCTTTCATTTACATTGTTTTATTTAACTCTCATATTCATCACTTAAGAAAAATAAGGAAGCCATTGTTTTGTATCTAGTCCCATGCCTTGAAAAGAAAAGTATTATTGTTCCAAGACTTGCCCAAGGTCAGACAGCTGTTGAGTAGCAATTGGGATTCAAGCCAACATGTTTCTGATATTAAACTCAAGTTCTTTTAACACAATGCTTTTCCATTGTCTCGTAACTCTTTGGTAGCTCCAAATACCTAATTATTTGGTATCTACAGATATTTTAGTAACTCCAAATATCATTTTATTGGCTGATGCTCAATACTTTTGATCAACGTTAACATGCATTAAGACTCTTTTTTGTCCATGGTAAGTTACAACTTATTTGTGGGTCATGAAACAATTTAATAGATCATAAATAACATTAAAAAATAAAACATTACAGAATAGAAAATGTCAGAATGTATCTTCAATTGTGTACTTGTGTTAATTTTTTTATGTAGAAAATCTTTATTTCTAAATATATTAACATAGTTATATACTGGTCGACCCATATGCTTGCTTTTAGGGTAAAGATGGTCAGGAGCTACTAGAGCTGAGCATGAAGTGGTTTGGAAATTCAGAGTGGTAACGAATGCTGTATTGTTCATGGTGCAGCTGCTGTTTAGGTTGGGAAAGCAGCCAAATCAATCCCAAGGGTGACAGACACAGTCATCTGGGGGAGGGGCATGGATAGGAACAGGAAGGAAGGTACCCACAATAGATCACCTAATACAAACAAATCTACTGATTGAAAAGATCTAACTTTTATTATTTTTCAAGCCATCAAACAATTTAGTTTTTTTAATTTTATTTGACTAGTTTGCTACTTACTTATTAGAAGTTTTGAATCATTTTGAGTGTGTTCTGAAATAGAAAAACAAGATAAATATTGAACTTGGTGGTAAAAACAATGTGGGTGCATATTCGGATATGTTCAAAATCAGTGCTAGTATCTGAGAGGACTTCTGCATTTGCACACTAACAGAGAATCCAATAATCCAGCAAAAGGCAGTTTGTGTAGTTTGTAGGTAACTTTGAGATCACAGACACAAAGTAAATTCCTAAGTTTATTTTGAGGCTCAAAGAAAGACTGTATAAATACAACACAACATTCACTTTCTGCTTTGACTCCCTCTTCTCCATTTCTTAAGCGTATGGAAGCAGTACAGGAGCCTGTATTATTTCTGGTACCTAGAACATACACTCAGCATGTACTCCAAGTGAGTGTGAAAAGCCACAAGGAAAGGATGGTTTTGATGACATGCTGGATACTCTTTCTGAAACAAAGATTGTGCCTCTCACTTCCTGCCTACTCATACCGCCCCCACTTTCCTGCTAAGACAATGATCACTTGTCTGTGTGAAATTCCTAGTCAGGAACTGAATGAGGGCAGACTGGGGAGGACAGAGTCACAGGCCATTGTATGTTCCAATGACTTTTCCCCAGCTCTGTCAAATTTTCTTCTGAGACTTTGCTTTGCAAAGAGCATTTGTTCATTCTTGAAGAATATTGCTTTCTCAACTGTATCCAAGCCCTCACTTTATCACATCCTTGTTCTTACATAAACCAATTTTTAACTCAAACATAAAAAGCAAATGAGAGTCAGATACGAAAACGAAAATTCCCAATACCCTCTAAGAAAAATATTTCAAAGGGAGAAAATAAAATATTTTTTTATCATACCTCTAAAATGTATTTACAAAAATCACAATCCTTAAATATGATTTCAGAATATATATTCTTCTCCTCACTTCATACTTAGTTCACTGAGTACTTCCAGGTACAGAAGAGAATGAATTTTTCTTTGACCCTTTTCCTGTTGTTTGTTTTCATTGCTTCATGAAAGGAAAATCCACACTCAGTTTAAAGCCAATTAATAAATAATTCATCTGACTTTTGTGAAGGAAGCAGAGATGCCCCCGAGAACCTTGACACATTTCCTGCTTCCCAAGATAGGATAATCTTTGATGTGTTAAAAAAAAAAAACATTTTCACACATTATTACAGTACAAGGGAATGTATAATAATTGAGAGGCACAGAACTGAAATTACATAAAAATTGCTAGAAAAGAGAAATCACTTCTCCAAGATAAATATGGAAGTCTTTATTAAGAACTTGGGAAATAAGCTGGGCTTGATAGGAGGGGTATAATTTTGATAGGTAGAGGCAGATAAATGGGTACCCCATGAGTGATGAGAACAGCACAGGCAGGACAGTGGTGAAGACATGTCAGTGGCAAATAGGGTTGTTAGGTTAAAGTTGAGAGTTTCTATATGGATTCCAGAAACAGTTCAGAAAAGAAGGTGAGGATGGACTATGGAAGGTCTTGAAGGCTGGTCAACAAACGTGAGCCTAATATTATAAGCACTGAGAATGCTCTGTAGGAGACTCAATAAAAGAGTGACATTACAAAAGAAGTTTATTAGAAAAATTAAGTTTATCAGGAAGCTTTTTTTGGCTGAAATGGATCAAAATGGGAAACACTAAAGATAAGGAGTTCATATAATTAACTGGAATTATTTAGAAGAAAGATAATAAAGGTCTGAGATGCTCATAGAGGCTGTAGGAGGGAACAAATCACAGAGTGGAAAGTTGTTGACAAACAAGAATAGAAAGCCAAAGCAAAGTCCTGGGGAATACCCAATGGGGGTCAGTAGTATTAGTTAACAAAGTGACAAAAAAGGAAATGATAGGAAGGAGGCAGAGTAGAACTCTTCAAAGACAAATTTAAAAGGACCTTAATGTCTCCTACTTAGCTCTTCGACTTTCCTTTAGACCACATCGTACTTCACACTCTGTCCCAGTCTGATCCCAATAAGCACGTCTCCTCAGAACACAGTGTTTAAGAGGAACTGCTGCCTCCCTTTCCTCTGAAGTTAAGCCCCCTCCTCCCCAACGGAGAGAGATTATCAATCCTCTAAAGTCTAGGACTTGGTCCCTAGAACAGCCACTTTACAAAATGTACAACCATTTGTAGTGGTCATGGAAGGACTCAAATACAAGATAGACATTTGACTAAACTCCTTTCTCTTGTACAGAAGTGGATTGTTTCCCACGAAGAAAGACTAAATTACACAAGAAGGCTCTCTTCCAAGAAAGGTGGACTCAATGTCACTATATTTAATTTTGCTATACATTATATTAATCAACATTACATAAATTATCTGGTAGTACTTAATTATTTTATATTTAATAGTATAATTAATATCGACCCAGAAGTAATGTTTTTGCAAGTTTTGCTTATTTTTTTACTTATTTTGCCAGATAAAAAGGTATTACTTCTTTAAAAATTTAATATTCTATCTCATTATGTGAATTTATAATGCAATGCTCTCCAGAAGCATTCATTCCGTACATCAATAGAGGCTTTTCCAAGTAGTTAAAGGCAATCTTTTCACTTTGCATAGATTATGTCATTTAATTGACTTATAAAGAAATTTTTATCGAGCACCCACTATGTGCCAGACATGCCACTTACTTGTAAAAAAGCAGAGATGTTGGTCATTTACATGTCTTCTTTTAAGAAATGTCTATTCAAATCTTTTGCCCATGTTTTAAAATTTATTGTCTGTTTGTTGTCGAGCTGTAAGAATTCTTTCTATATTCTGGGCACTTGTCAGATATGTGATTTGAAAATATTTTCTCACATTTTGTATTTTGTCTTTTTACTCTCTTGATAGTGTCCTTTGATACAGAAAAGTTTTTAATTTTGATGAGGTACAAGTTATCTATTTTCCTTTTGTTGCTTATGCTTTCGATATCATATCACCAAAACTATTGACAAGTCCAAGATCATAAAGAGTTGGTCCTATATTGTCTTCTAAAGAAACAGTATTATGGTTTTATGCATACATAGATTTTATAGTTCTAGCTCATATTTAAATATAAGGTCCATTTTCACTTATTTGTTTCTGTATATTGTGTGAGGTAGACATTCAAATCATTCTTTTGCATGTTCATATCCAATTGATCAGCACCATTTATTGAAGAAATTACTTTTTCCCATTGAGTGGTCTTGGCACTCTTGTCAAAAATCAGTTGACAAAGGAAGTATGGATTATTCTGGATTCTCGATTCTATTCTACTGAACTATATATTTATCCTTATGCCAGTAAAACAGTTTTGACTATCATAGTTATTTTTATTAAATTTATTGGGGTGCTATTGGTTAATAAAATTGTATAGGTTTCAAGGATACAATTCAATAATACATCATTTGTATATTGCATTGTGTGTTCACCACTCAAATTTCTTTCGTCACCATATATTTGACCCTCTTTATCTACCTCCTCCCTCGCCCCCTTTCCCTCTGGTAATCACTAAACTGTTGTCTTTGCCTATGAGGTTTTATTTGTTTGTCTTGTTCATTTGTTGCTTTCAGCTTTATATCCCACATAGAGTGAAATCGTATGGTTTTCGACTTTTTTGTCTGCACTCCAATGTCCATTGCAGCATTATTTACAGTGGCCAAGACATGGAAACAACTGAAGTGTCCTTTGATAGATGACTGGATAAAGAAGTTGTGGTACATATATACAATAGAATATTACTCAGCTATAAGAAAAGATGAAATATTGCCATTGTGACAACACGGATGGAACTTGAGATTATCATGCTAAACAAAATAAGTCAGACAGAAAAAGAAAATTTTGAAATAAGGAAGTGTTGAGTCCTTCAATATCATTCTTCTTTTTCAAGATTTTTTTTTTTTTTTTTTTTTTTGGCTATTCTGGGCTCATTGCAATTCCATATTACTTTTAGAATCAGCTTTTTTATTTCTTCAAATAGAAGGTTTTGGGATTTTAATGGGGATTACATTGAATCTGTAGATCACTTTGGGAACTATTGCCATCTTAACAATATTAAATCTTCCTATCCATGAAAATAGTTGTCTTTCTGTTTATTTACATCTTCTTTAATTTCTTTCAGCCATGTTTTATTTAGTGTGTAAGTCTTGCATTTCCTAGCTTAAATTTATTCTCATTTTATTCATTTTCATGTTATTCTAAATGGAATTATTTTCTTAATTTTCTTTTCAGACTGCTAGTTTATTGCTAGTCTTTAGAAATATTACAGATTTTTTGTTGATCACAATACAACTTTGTTGAATTCATTTATTAACTCTAGAAAATTTTGTGGGTTTTTAGGGATTTTCTCTATATAAGATCATGTCATCTGTGAATAAAGATTTTTACTTTTTCCTTTACATTTTGGATGTTTTTATTTCTTTTTTCTTGACTAATTGCTCTGGCTAAAACTTCCAGTTCAATGTTGAACAGAAGAGGCAAAAGCAGACATCCTTGTTTTGTTCCTATTCTTAGGAGGAACACTTTCAATCTTTCAACACGGAGTATGATGTTAGCTGTGGGATTTTCATAAACCAAATATTTTTTTTACTCTCCCCTACTCTTCTTCCCCGCCCCCCATGTTTCATTCAGCTTGGTTTTGCCTAACTTAACCTCAACCTCTGTTTGTTCTGCTGTTTGAACCTCACGAGGCCCTCTCCAGAGGGCTTAAGGGGACAGCCAAGTCTATGAATATTCTCAAAACTCATCGAAGAGTCAAGTTATTTGTGTGCTGTTTGACCTCTGAGCAAAAGATGAGCTACTAACAAGTATATAATTTTCTGAGCACTAAAAACATAACTCCGAGAAATTATCAGTAAAAGTTGAGGACAGAAAAATGGGAGGAAAAAAAAAAAAAGAAAAAGAATATAAGGACAGAGAATAGAAAGCTGTTTACTACTATTGGTATTCACTTTGTAATCTACTTTTGGACTTATCAAATAAATTTTATACCTCCTAAAGACAAAAACAATAACTTTTATTGTTATTATATTTTCCCTACTCTTCTCTAATTCACTCACTCTAAAACACACATACGCATACACACACAGACGTGCAGATGCATCAGTCTGTGAAGTGTGGCAGTGTTGTAATGTTTTATATTATATAAGTTCAATTCTAACCTAATTACTTGATAATCTGGGTTCTCCTTTTCCTTGAAACATAGTGAGAACAACATTAGGTAGTCGTGGTGTCTAGAACTCACCTGTCACATAAATGGTTATTGAATGGCTTTCAATGAGTCCCGACGGAACAATCGCAGAACAGCGGTATGATCCATTGTCACTAGCCAGCACTCGATCAAAATACAGAATAAAAACGGACATATTCTTCCTGTTTTCCCAATTTGTGTGTTTCCACTGTCCATTTTCAAGATCTGAACAGCTCTTTCCTTCGAGCTTGCACCAGGTCACATTAGGTCTGTTGGCACAATATACCGTAGGGCATTCCAGTTGATAAGAGGTCCCTGCTGAGATGTTCACGGAATGTCTCTTAACATAAAGTTGTGCGTCACATGATTTTTCCCCTAAAAGATAAAAACAAAATTAATACCAGGTCTGTTCTGGAAGGACCAGATATTTGCTACTTTAACAGTTTCTGCCTAAAATTTCTCAAGCACGATTCTAAAATTTTTCCGGATAATGTTTTCCAGTAATGAAGCCTCACTAGCAGTGTCTGACAGATAGTAGGCACATAATATTTATTGAAAAAAAATCATTTCCTCAATTGTTCAATAATTTCCTCAATTTCCAAATTATTACTGATATTTTTATTATAAATTATATTTCATTGTATTTTTACTTATTGTTATTATTTTGTAGCCACTTCAATAGGTAGCAAATGATAATAGCAATTTCTTTTCAATTAGTTATTATATTTCAGGGGCAGTTTAAAATACATAAATATTTTAACTCTTTTAATCCTCACAACAAAAATCATATAGTTATTATGAACCCTGTTTTACAGATAAAGAAACTGAAGTAGTAAAGAACTTGCCTAAAGTTATATGCTAATAATTAGGAGAATCGAGATTTAAACTCATACTAGAGTCCATTACTCTAATAATTCATTAATTCATAATTCATTAACCATTTCTCTATTGTTTCTTGAGCAGTAATCATGTGTTCAATTTCTGGCTCTGGTATATTCCAAAAAGCAGAAGAGAGAAATTTTTGTACACAACTATTTCCCTATAGTATTTGGCATTAGGAATTTTCTTCACTTATTTTTCAATGGCTTTAATGCTACCTTGAAATTTTCTTCAGAACTTTTTCTATGTATGAGACATACAATTCATGATACTATCTAAAAATAGGATGATCTGAAATAATTTGAAATATTATGTTTTCCCAATTGGAGGAGGAGCAGTGATCTACCTCTTTGGAAGTTCTGTCTATTGACCCAATACAGGAAATATGCTGCCTTCTGTTTTGGTGGGGAGAGCTGTTTTCTGAAAACAGATTTTTCTTTTTTATGAACCTTTTGTTAGTATTGTAAATTGTATATAAAATCCTCAGCCAAGAAAAAATTTTTTAATATTTTATATTATTGAATAAGTTCTGTTACCTATAACTTATCATAAAAGTATTTCCTGGCAACCTCAATATCTGGAATATCACTAACAACCAAAACAAATATATGAAAAAAAAAATCTTCTCTAAACAAGCAAAATAGATATTTCAAGATTTAAAATTTAACTGATTTCATACTTGATTCTTACAATTCCATTATCATTTCCTAATTAGCCCAGAAGGCATAATACAGAGTTGTATATTGCAGAGTAATAACTATGTTCATAATGATAAGATAGAATCAAAAATAAAACTTTAAATTATATTTAATACCATCAATATTTTGAAACAAAGAAATGTTGAATCTCTTTTACAGAAAAATTTTATCAGAAATGACTACTTCAAAAATGTTTTGGCCTCCAAAGGGGCAAAATTCAATTACTTAGAATGTACTTTTATGTGGAGCATTTATTCACTGATAATTGCTGGTCTGTATTGTCCCTTTTGAGACTCATGCTTAAAAGGAACATGAGAAATGACACTAATTTATAAAACCATTTAACCTTTTTCATCATAAGTATATGTAAATCATTGAATGATCTACTACGAAACTGACTCTCTGTGCTGATAAAAAAATAGATCAACATTCTCTTTTCTTAAGTACTTTGTAGTGATTTATATCTTTCTATTTTTTAAGTAGAGTTAAAGTTAAGCATGTTTTCTTAAGAGTGTTTTCTCTTTAAGTTTCTTTTCTTTGATCATTATAGTTCTTTCTTGGCTCTATTTTCCTCTGTTTCAAACTATTCTTTGAGCAATATGTTCAATCTGTCCCCTTTATTAATTTCTTTCACTCATTTTCAAGCATTCTTCTGAATAGATTCACAGTATCATATCTTATAATGATAAAAACATAACTGAGATTACAGCCCAACTGTCTTTTAAAAATAAAGAGGGCTAAGGACTAGTCAGATGTTGAACTGTGGGACGACTTTGAGCCCCGCATTCCACATACTGCTCTACCTATCATAAAGTTCCACTTTTTTTCTACATCTTCACCAGCATGAATATGCTCATTTCAAGCTATTTCCTAACACTCAATAAACCTCACACTATAATTTGTGCTCACGTCTTATCTATCCTTGCTCAGAATAAGTATAACTTTATTGAGTTTTCAGGAATCGGATTGAGACAAGGGACCTGCAAAGAACGTTTAGAACCTCTGAATATTTATATATTTATAACTGCTCTGAGACCTCAAACAAATTCGCTTTAAGACTTCATAATTCATTTGCTGCCAAAAATTCAGAATAAAAATGAAAATAAACTAAGTCATGAGGATGAGGTTTTCAAAAAATTGAAGAGAAAGGGTAAGATACTTTACTAAAAGGAAGTGCCTAACAATATAACACCTAGATGTGGTTATACCTATGACAAAAAAAGCAAGGCGGCATAGGCAGAAAGGCCAAGTGAAACCCTTGTTTCCAGAAGTCGAACCCTCTCCCTAAAGTTAACAGGCTGTCTCAGCCTCATAACTTCCTTTACATTTACTTGGATAAGTCAATTATAGTCAATGGAGTCTATAACTCTGAGCTGGCTTTGTGAAAAATAACATGATAGTTACAGGCAAAGACCTTCTTCCTTCAAGAAACTTACCATACAGTTGATGAGACAAGATTAACTAACAACATCTCTTTTCTGGATTAAATTTACAATCTACCACTTTTTTTTCTTCAAGTTTACCTAAGCTGAAAGCAAAGCTCAGAGGGATCTTGTATGCTAGTTGTTAGGAGGTATGGGAATAAATAAGACGGGGTGCCTGCCTTCATGGGTCTTGCCTTATGATGGAAAATAAAAACATTTGACAAATGGGAGAATGAAATAACATGGTAAAGAAGTGGAAATCTTCGGGCGTGCCGAGGATTCACTTCAGCTGGAGCTATTGAGGCAAGGTTTAATGGAAAGCTTGTATTTGAGCTGAACCATAGTGAAGGGATAGCTCTATAATAATTAGAGCAGTGAATGGGCAGGGGAGGTATTTAAAACTGAAAAAATGGAAGGAGAAAGGCAGAGAGGCCAAAATTCTAATGGGAGATTCAAGGAATTGATACACGCTCGGATCATAATTTTCTGAAATAGTGACATGAAGATCACTAGTTGTTTCAGAATGAATGAAATAAGCATTAGGTGGGAGAAGTTTAAATTTTGCTTAAAATCATGAGAAAAGACAGAGACTGATTCTTTGGAGATATTTATAAAAGTCATGGACATAACTAAAAATGGGAATACTCATTTGAACACAGTTGTTCAAATGCTGACACACTGTGCAATACTGACATAGCCACCCAGTCTCACTGGCCCTCAATTTCTTTAAAATAAAATGAAAGGATTGGACTTCAAAAACAAGAAAATTTTTACCCACCATTCTTGCTACTCAGAAACACATTTATAACTTTACCTCCCTCACCGTGTAACTCTGTAACAAAACCACTTCTAAGTCTCATTTTCTGCAACAATTTGTCACCATTTCATTTAGACATAGGGCTGTCACCCACTGCTGGTAGCACAACTGAACATCCTTCCTAGTCTCAGCATTTTATGTCTATATGCTTGGGAGGAATGCACGAAGTAGAGAAGGGAGCTGGCTGATCATCCTCATCACATCACTGACCTGCGGTGGGATGATGGAAACATCACTGTCATCCCCATGTATTCCTATCAGCAAGATGGAGATCAATGACTGACACATTGGCTGGCATAGGGAATTTTTCTTGAATGGGGGGAGTAAATAGATAAATGCAGGCTTGCCAACAGGCACTAAAAGTCATCGAGAGTACTTCCTCTTTGTACAAAGAAGGTATTATATTTCCTATGTCTCCAAGACTCAAAATGATATTTGTTGCACAGGATGATGCAGTAAGCTAGAAGTCACGATTCTAATTTTCCATCCTACAAGTATGTTGACACTTCTTTACTGCTTGTCCTAAATTATGCATATCTATATTATGACACTCAAGACATCCAGAGCTGTCTCCAAGGGGTTCGTGTTGTCGAAAAAAAAAATTTTTTTTTCTGAGGAGAGATGAAGATCATAGTTGCTTTAGGCTGGGGTTTATAGGTCAATATTAGTTATGGTTGTTCCTGCTGTTATTGCTCCTGTTGTTTTCAAACATTCATATTTAATGGTAGGAAATTTTCAATGATAAAAATAATTTAAATATATGCAGTAAAAAGATGAAACCTCTACCATCTCTAAGCCATCGAATAATGCAGTATCCCTTTTCAAGTCACTATAGGTTTTGGAAGCTTCTCATTTTTAAAATTCTTATGAAAATCATTACTATGTTATTATAGTATATACATCCCACGAGTAGGCACTACCTAGAATATTTGATGCCCAGAGGACATTTTTAACAACCTCTATATGAAAAAATATTTTCAGAAATAATCGTGAAATGAAACAAACAATAAAATAAACATAAAAGACAAATAGCCAGTGAATTTTTTTTATTGAAGTTTATACATAAAACTATGCATTATTATTTGAAAAATATTAGAATAAAAAAAGGAAAAATGCACAGCTATTTATTTAATAATTTTATATCTACCTAAATTGTGTGAACTTTTATCCTTTAGTTAAAGCCTGATATAGCAGTTAATATAAATAATTTTACAGTAACTAATAAGTGAATTTTATTAAAACTGGAATTCTATAAAAGATATAATTTAGGCAATAACTAAATTATACCACTAATGTAAAGTGTTTTTTTTCTTATTTCTCTTTTAAAATTTTAAAACAATTAACACTTTAAAGAAAATACATTTCAATTGTAAAACTATTAATCAATAAAACAGTTTATGTAAGAACTGGAATTACACCTCACAATAAGTACAGTTTCACTGTTTTAAAGTTTAAACAAATAAATATTCAAAATGATTGCACAGAATAAAAGAAAAAGACCTCTCACATTCTTATTCTTTGTCTCTATAGTCGCCGTGGTATTATTGTGTATTTAAA